GCTGGGAATTCCTATTGCTCATTTATATGGCACCCAGTGGAAGAGGCCCCTGCTCTTTGACCAAGGCATTGTAATTCAGATTAATAAAATCTTGTGATGCTGAATTGCTTTTCCAAGATACTACCACTCAGGGTCACAGAAAACCACATCAATGTATAGGGGTAAAACCTATAGCCTCGGTGCTAATAACTAGAGAAGAAAATTATTCCACTAAAATCTTTCTTCTCTCTTTAATTATAATTTGACATTTGGCATCTTGACTTTCATCATGACAACCGTTCTCCTAAGCCACTAACATTTGGTTCCAGAGGGCACTTGGTACAAGTTAAACATGATATTAAAGGAGGAGTCTTAACTATAATTCTTGCCGTAGCAACAGAAATAACCAGAAAAGCCAGCCAGCTTTGATTTGTGATGTATATAGATGTGTTGGTAGCAAGGACAGGCTCTGCAATATGGAAACATACACTACATAGGAGGAGGGAATTATTTTAGATAAATAGAAACCATTCAATGTAGAATCTGGCTGTGCAACACCTCTTCTATTTAATATTCCACATCAACTGTTTCTATTTAGCATTTAAATGACAGCATAAAATATTTATGTAGCTATTTTACCACTACAGGAAAACCACAGAGTATGGGGAGATCCATGAGCTCACAACAGAAGAACAGTTTGTAGAAGGAATATACAGGGTTGAGTTTGACACCAGCTCTTACTGGAAGGGACTTGGGCTTTCTCCATTCCATGAATACGCTGATGTAAGTATTTGCAAATATACCTAATAACCTATATACTGTGTAGTGGCATCACCTGGAAAGAACAAATACAGTCCTTTAATACTGAAGGAGCAGCACCATTCAGTGAAATGGTCCACTGTCACATAACATTGGGCAAATAAAGGCAGTATATAGCCAGCTAAGCCAAAGGAAGTAGCCAACTTCCCTGCAAATACTGGCACAGCTCTTCCAAAGTGGAGCTGTGCCCATTCACCCATTCAGACCAGTAGGGACCTTTGTTCAAAAAGAGCTAAGTTATTCAAAAGTACACAGTGTTTAAAAAACAAACAAGGAAAAGAAAAAAAAGGAAAAAAAAGACTGCTTTTATTGTTGCTGAAGGAATACAAGGATTTGGAAACCCTAATTTTATAGGAAATAAGCTATTCTTTGATCAGAGGTATTTCCCCCATATCAGTCATCTGAAAATCCCTGAATACTAGTATGACCTGTAATTACAGGAAAAAACAATTCTTTCTGATGTCTCTTTTTTTAAAAAAAAATTATGCTCAGTACTGAAATATGCAATAGAAAAAAAAAAAAGACATAAAAATATAAAGAAATAACCATAGTGGGAAAGGAAATGTTGGCTGTTTCAGTGATACTTGAATTTCATAATCAGGCCAGCAATGTAATCATGTCTTGTGCCTCCCTTAGCTTTCAATCCTACGCTGTTTTATTGTGTGCTCTATTTCTACTACATTTACTTAGCACTTCCAAAAATCTTGTTTAAATTCTTCAGGCTTAATCTGTCATTAAATTTAAGTTTCCCCAAATTAAGTAGTCTGGAATGGCTACCGGTTGCGTTGTAGAACATTTTAAACCACAAGTTTATGAAGCTCTGTAGAAGACTAAAACAAATGACTGAGGCCCAGGTCCATAAAAGTAAAAGGTGCAGCTTGGGTCATTTAGGTCTAATAAACAATCCTGAAAAATATTCCCTAAACATTTGGATGTCTGAAAGTTGCTGGGGCCTACGGAAGGGCTTCACCTCAAAAGGTGCTTAAAAGCACCTGGTTGAGACTGTTCCCCTGGGCTGTTGAAGAAGCTTTCCTTTGATGTAACAGCCTACAGGTCAACAAATTGCCCTGGGAAGTGGGCAGAGTGCAACGACTCTCTGTGTACAAGGTAACTGAAGCCCACAGTCCTCATGTCCCAGCGGCTTAGACTTTGGCAGGACCAGGGTGTAGGAGGGAACTCTCTAGTCCTCTTGTAGAAAGTGCGTCATGGTTCAGAAAGCAGATCAAATGTTAGGCTAAGGAGAGCCAAAGGAAGAGGGAGCTTAACCCAGGTGATGACACTTTCCTGGCAACTGGGTGTCCCAAGTTCCAGGGACTGATTTGGAGAGCAGCAAATTTGAATTCTCTTAGGACAAGGGTCTCTCCTTGTTCTGGCAAGTCTAGCCACTCAGCTCTCAATGCAAGAACTGACCCATCACCAGCTGTGCTAAAAACAGGAGGCACTGAAGTACAGACAGCAGCTTTGGGCTCCAGCTGCCTGCCTCGCTTGGACACCTCACACAGTGGTCATATTTAGGTTCACTAGATGAGATTTCACCTCCCTGTCTGTCTTATTGGTCATTTGAGATACCTGCCCTCACCCTCCCATTCCACATCACAAACTAGTTTGCCCGACTCAGGTGTAGGCATCTCCATCCAGCTTCACTGTGGCTGGTGACCTCAGTCCAAACCTCACAAATTTCTCAGTCTTCAGGAAGCATCACAAAGTAACGGGGAGCATTACCCTTCAGAAGGGTAAAATCATTGACTGGACAGAACTGGCAAAGTATTCTGCAGAGGAAATGGAGCGTGCTTCCTAATTCTTAATAAGGTAATGTTGAATGTACGTTGTTCATCGTGATCACAAGTTTTCTCTTTTCCAGGTGGTGTTCACTGCTAATGATTCCGGCCACCGCCACTACACCATTGCCGCTCTCCTCAGTCCTTTCTCTTATTCAACCACTGCTGTTGTCAGTGATCCCCAGGAATAAACATATACGGTCGTTACAGAAAGACCCTCTGCTAGAACTATTGTAGGCTTTTAGGAGGAAGGTTTTTCCTACTGCTAATGCATAACTTTTTGCTACATTAGGTGTTTTTCCATTTTGTAACCTGGCAAACTTCAGACAAGTCAATAAAATGTTACTTCTTTAAAACAGTTTTGATTCTATTGGTGAAGTTTTATTGTGTTCTAAGGTGTCATGATTTGTGTTCAAGAGCAAAGGACATCTGAAAAACATGTATGGCATGGCACTTGATTTGGTTCTGTTATCTTCCTCCACTGCCTTAAAAAATTCTCACCAAACACATTGGCTCAAAATAAGAAAGTTATAGAGTTGCGCTACCTTAAAAAATTTGACCAAATACACTGGCTCAAAATAAGAAAGTCATCCATGCTACTCATAGTTTACACACAGAAGAGACAGTCCCACTATTAACTAGGTCACAGGGTAAATAGGAGAAATTCTGAATACCTAGCAGCAGAACAAACAATGCAGGAATACTATTGAAATATATATACATCCAGAGAGCTCAAAGAGTTAAAATCTGTGTACCTTTACTTAAAACTTCAGGTAAACCTCAACACTTCGCCGTTTCAAGAGGAAAGTTTGCTGCTCAATCAATCTAGGAAGTTCTGAAGCAATTTCAATTCACACCATTTTTAACAACTTTGGTCTTTAATTCAGCTGGCTACTGTATTCAGGTGCATCCAATTAAATCTCCAGTAAGTCAAATCTCTAGCTATCATTTTAAAAAGTCCTAAAATCAATGCATCATCTTAATATTCTCTTCATATTTTTAGAAACAGGAAAAGGTAAGTTGTAGAATGACTGTGATTCAAATAATGTTGTTGATTAACTGACCAAAGACTTTGAGGGCTTTAGCATGGATTTCTGTAGACTGATGGCCTGTTGTATTTAAAATATCCTGAAGCAGAGAAATTGTTTTTTTTAACGGGATTACAGAACTTACAGAGATAGTTACTGAAATCATGCCATTCAGAAACCATCAGCACTCCTCTGCCACTGACCTTGGAGTTTATCTCCACACCCAGAGCCTGCTGGCATGACTGCGTACCAAGTGAATTCACAAGTTACAAAAGCTTCCCTTTAACGTTTCACTATTTGGTTACTTTTTTCCCCAATTTCAGGACACTACCAGTTACACAACTCTTGTAAGCAGTGCAAATAGTTTCAAAACAGCACCCATCTTAAAGCATGCCGATTTCATGGGATCCTGCTATTCAGAGCTTGAAAACCAGTAGGTTTGATTTGCAGTGGGCTATGCCCAGCCCTCACAATAGGACATAAACATGCCCATATAGGTGTAGTCATTAAAAAAAAAATCCTAACCAAAAAACTACTCTGCACATAGTCAGATGTCATCTGATGACAGGATAAACCGAGTAAGAGAGTGTACATGCACATGTCTAACCAAAGATCAGAAAGACAAAGTTTAATTTCAAGAA